AGTTTGTTGAGGCGTTTCATGTGATCATAATTTTATAAAACTATATGAACATAAAATTATTTATAAAATGAATGGTTTGTTCTATTGAGTATGAAAAAAAAAATCAAAATATTTTACAAAAATTATTCAGTTTGTTAAAAAGGAAAACCCGTAAAAAATTACTATAGAGTAATTTCACATGTGTTTTTAAACTAAATAATTATTATTACAAGCAATAATCAATTTTAAATAAATTTAAAAATTTTCGTGATTTAAGCAGTGTTTTTTATGTTATATTAAAGTTGTTCATGAGTTCATATAAATATAGGTACGCACGTCCGGTTTAAAATGACAGGGAAAGAAGAAGGTTATAAAAAGCGAATACCGTTTTATTATCGTCCGGTAGACCTAAAATAATTTTTTTTAAATACTGCCTTAAAACAATTAGGCAACAATTAGTAATTATTTTAATTCCCTGTAATAACAACCGTCTTGAAATAATTCAAGAATTCTTGTTTGTCAGTTTAAACAGAGTGATTATATTGTAAGAATAAAGTTGTATTTTTTTTTTTTTTTTTTTTTAAAAGATTATTTTCTTTTATACATAGTTCCGGCTTGCAACGTTTAATACGAGAACACCGACAGATGGTATCATCAAACTCAAAGTGGACATGAAATTTACATAATACAATATTTGTATTGCATTTGAAAAAATACATCGAGTTACATACGCACGTGTATTGTGTCCATTATATATATATAAAGAAAAAAAAGAACCGAAGTAAAACAATGTGCTACACTATAAATACTATGCGTACAGGGTCCCGTATGCGGTCATTAAATTATTTCATATAGAAAAAAATTAAACGTAAAAGAATAATATGTTATTATTATAAGTTTATTCGCAATGGATGCGTAATGTACAGTATCGAGTAAAGTTTTTTTTTTTTAATTTCGTAGAGGTCGTTTGGAGTTTAATAGTAAAAAAAAAAAAAAAAATCAACGGCCGACGTCCACCTGCACTTCCTGTACATATATAATCTGTTCCGAATGACTTCTGATACATTATTTTTATTATTATCATTTTTTTTTTCATGTTCGTAGACGAACGCAGCCGGTCCCCGAGAAGTCTGATGAAACTCAAAAACTCTTGTTAATTCGAATTCGTGTCAACGGCTAATTAAACACACTCGTACCTATACAATGTCATCAAAAACACGAGTTTATATAAAAAAAATAATAGTATAAATGTTGTGCGACATTTTGGCTTTGCGCCTATAATACACACACACACACACACACACACACACAATTTGATAACTGCGAGCCAATTGGTTTTTGCCAATTGTCGTAATTATAATTTTACCCTCGCAAATTACTATAATCATAGGCTTCGACATCTTATCGAGCTTGTTTAACCGTTCGCGTCCAGGTAAATGGGTGATTGCGGTATAATAATTGACATATGAAAAAAACCTAAATGTTTTGTACTTGTATCTAATTATTAAACACTACGCTGCACCAATTGTTATTTATACAATTGAAAAATTAAGTGTTTAAGGAAGAAATTGACGAATAATCTCGAGGAAAAATTGCGAAATAAACATAAACAATTACTATAAAATTATCGTAATGATAATTTACAATAAAAAATATTTTGTTTTATAATATGATGACACTATTTTATTTTAAATTATGTGTTTATGAAGAATGAACAGTAAGTTACGAACAAATAGAAATAATTTCAATATTTTTGTTTAAATGAAAGTTAAAATTTACGTATGAAAAAAAAATTAATATTACTTCATATCATAGCGCGTTATTTAATATATATCTAAACAAGTAGGTTTATTATGAGACGGGAACGAAAAAATAAATATTATCGTTTTCCTACACAACATTGTTTAAAAACAAATGTATGAATTTCCGGGAAATTATAATCGTTAATGATTTGATTGTTAAACTCATTTTTTTTATAAAAAAATACTTTTGTCCCTCACCGTTCAGCTCTCAATGTATGGATGTACATCATAAGTATAAACGTAACTAATTTTTGTTTTAACAAGCTCGTTACATCCCCTTCAGAAATTAAACACTGTAAGGTATCACTGTCATGTGTATTCATTATGCAAAACAGCACGACATTAAATACCGAACAAGTCGTATGAGTCGTATCCATTCACGAATAATTACTAAAGCCCACTGAAGACGTATAAAAAGAATAAATGGGCATGATCAAATGAAATGTACAAAATGAAACTACAATAGATGTGGTCATGGGTGTACAAATTATTGATTATTATTATTAATAGGTATAATTTTTAGCTATTTTTCATTTTTTTGTGCGTTCAATTAATTAATTATCGACAGTTATAGTCGTCTCCGCGTCACTATGGAAAAAATACCAGGTCGTTCCGAATTAAACAAAAAAAAAAAAAAAAATAAAATAAAATAATTCGATTTCACGAAATAATTAAATCTTGTGTTATACACTTCTCACGTTCTGTTATTCGCTTCTTTTGTACCCTGATATGGCTGTACCGTTCACGGACGTGTGCGCCCAACAGCGTAACAAATAGTAGTATACCGGCAATAAAGAATCTCGACGTAATATCATGTTACGAATACTCGGCGAATAATAATTGAGCTCTACCGTGTATGTGAATATTAGCATATTTTCAGTATGCCTACATACTAAATTCAATAATACGCCGTAACTGGTCGCCTACTTGTCGAAATATTAAGATAAATGGAAATACTTTATGAAATCGGAACATTAAGAATAAAAAAATGACAAAACAGTATTTCTTAGAAAAAATAAATAAAAAAATATGATTCTCCGCTACCGTGCAATAATTTTAGTTTATTTCGAGACTTCGACTTAACAGAATTGCGTTAATGTTGTATTATCGTATGCATATTATCTAAATAATTATCACAGAACTAATTTTTTAAAACCAAAATGTTATTTCGTATGAACTTAAATTATCAATTTTAAAACTAAAAATATCTTGATAATTCTATCAAACAATAATTGATTGTTTGTGAAAATAAAAAGTCTATATTTTTGTGCATGTGAATGTGGCGGTCGTTCTAAAATATAACTTTAATATATAATTTAATACTACGACCAGCTACTTCATTGCATACACTTCTTACTATATTGATAAGTGGTATTTAATTTAAAAACAATTAAAAATAATAATTAGATCTAAGATCAAGAATACTATAGTTTTAATAATCGTATTTTTCTACAACATGGGTATAAGATTACATGACTTAGCCAAACTGATAATACATAAAATGTGTAACATTAAACATGTAATAGATAATATTAAATACTATGTAGAAAAAAAAAAAGATTATGGTATATTTATTAAAAAGTAAATATACACATATATTTTTTTTTTTTTTTTTGTTAATCACTCGAATAAAATAAATTACTATTTTTGTATAATAATATATCATGATAAATGTACTGTATCCTTCATTAGTTTAATATAAAATTTCAATTATACAACAAGTAAGAGCGTACAAGTTATTTCATATTATTTCTATATGAACGTCCCTTATGCAGTATGTGAAATAATTTACTATAGTAACTACTTTCAATATTTGAAAGCCAAATTTAAAAATATTATTATAGAAAAAACGTATATTGAAATATTTACACAACACGTACTACTTACTCGAATAAAACAATGATCTTAAAAATTTTAAACTAATCGATGTTTTGATGATAAACATCGTAATGTATCTTCGTGCAAATTATATCAGATAATGAAATAAATAAGCATATAGTAAAATGTATACTATTGACATCAATAATTTTCCACTTAAATTTTAAATTAATTGAATTCAGTTTTAGAAAATAAATAATTATTGGAATAATTAACAATATTAAATTATATTATTCAATATTCATGTATAAATTAATTAACGGATAAGGTGAGGGCAAAACTCTATTACATGTTTACAGATTTATTTTTATGACAGAGAATGTATAATTTTTCCATTAGAGTTTTAAAAAATTAATTTAACGCAGAGAAAAATATATTTATACGCAATTATAATAAGCGAATGTAACATGCATATCTTAAAAACAGCTAAATGTATGTGCTAAAAAAATAATATCGTACTTTTAATGTCTAACAAAACGTTAGGAATTGACTTTCGAATAGATTATATATTAGAAATACATTTCCAAGTAAATGTGAATTTGAAATGGTATAAAAACCTATTCAACAGATGTTTAAAAAAAAAAAAAGACCACGAGAAAGATAAAATATTTGATGTCGGTTATTCAAGTACGTACATCGCAATTCGCAACCGATAAAGGCGAATACATGCGACAGTTGTATAAATTATAATATAACATAAACCAAACAGAGCCGTACCGAGCCATTTTTTTATCCCGAGGCAAAACTGAAGCAATACGCCCCCTAGGTTGTAGGGTTGTCACACTCACAGATTTTAATACGTATAATACGATTCGGAAAAATCTGAAAAAATGGATTTAGGTTTCTAGCAAAACAAGAAATAATATTTTTTAAAATAAGTTAATTATTTAATATTTTTGCACCCCCCAGCTTCAGGCACCCAAATCAATTGCCTCGCTTACCTCACCCATGTTACAGCTCTGAAACTAAACATGTTTTTAGACGTACCGATCGGAATCGTATCGAACTATTATTGATTTCATAACATCGGAAAATGTCGCGCGCGGAGGATGGCTTATGGGCAATAAGTGCTTGACTTGAGGGAGAACGCAGGGGGACGGAGTACCCTAACTAATATTCAGAAATGTTAGTGCCCCCCAACTATTATTACGTTATAATTGTAACACTTCACAAGTCTTGGGGACAGTATTATTTTTCAAAGTAAACCGAGTCCCCCTTCTTTAATTTTTCCAAGTCAAGTCCTGCTATGTGGCTTATCGTCGCACCCGAAGGACGATGGTGTCAGCGATGCACGTTTATTATGTCACGTGAAATACCGCGTCGTGCGAAATGTATTCTTACCCAGCAGCTTGGTGACGGCTCCTTGTTGATTGAAAACGTGATGAGCGATATCTGGATACCCGCGGTACCTGTTGGACAGCTCGAGCAGCCGCGAGTGCTGTTGGTGCTGTTGGCTGGCCGCCATGGCGTACAATTCACGTAGAGTGGCCGGTGATGGAGACGACGACGGCGACGCGGACGACTGCGGTCTACCGGTGGCTGTGGTCGCTGCACGGAGAGAAAAAAAAAATTAACAAACTACTGATAAAAAAAAAAAAAAATTGACAGCGAAATATCTTTTATCGTCCGACCGCTATGCATTTTTTTGTGATGGAAAAAATTGAAAATAAAAAAAATAGGAAATGTCGCCCCGGGCGGAAGTACGACCGTGGTTAGGTTAGTACACCCCTTGTACGCGCGCACGCACGCACACACACACACACACACACACACACACACACACACACACCTCTGATACGTATAGGTGCAGTGTGCGCATACGTTTTTGATCGCGTGTGCACGTAATTATAAATGTCATTCGATCCTTTATTTGCCTCTGTCGCCGGGGCGATGTGCTTCCCCGATTGGCGGTATTGTATAATAGAAAAAAAAATACAATGGCCTCTATCTGGACAACTTTTTTTTCCTCCCCCCCCACCTCCGATCAGAAAACTACTCAACTTTTTTATTCGTGTACACAATGTTTTACATTACAGTATTCGATTTCAAACATATAAAACTACACGACCTTTACATCGTCGTTTATATTGTAACCGCTAAACGCGCGCTTTGTATGTTTTCGATTTGTCTTTAATACCGCAAAATTAACTAACAGCGTTTAAAAATGTTGCTATACGATTTAAAAAAACGTAATCAATTCATCAGTGTACTTTTGTACAGTCCAGACACGGTCATCGACAGTGTTCGGAACTCGTATCGTTTTGTTCGGTCTTACAGATTAGATACAGGCTAAATCGTATACTTTTCAGGATTGTAAATATTGTTAATATTTATTTAACGATAGCAGTTTTAATTAGAGAGAAATCCTTCAAGTTATTTACAATTTAACTATACCTCAAGTTAATCATGACTAGAGTATCAGATCTTCGGGGATAAAATTGTAAGATATATAAAATAAAACTCACTGAAATTCGTAGACATATAAATGTTTTAATATTACATTTGTGAAACACAAAACTAAACAGTGTTTACGGTTTAAAATTAAATAGTCATACAATAATGCGAAAAATAAATTTTTATATGCTTCAGAAAATATCATCAGATTTGGATCAAGTTAATTTTAGGATTAGAGCCATCAAAAAGTATTAAACACTTTTGGAAGCAATTTCCTCAAAACATTATATGTAAGATCACTTGAAAAAATAAAAATGCATAAAAGGAGCAAATGTAAAATATTCATATGTTAAAAAATGTTGATATTACTTTATCTACTGATCGACATGAATTTATTTTAGATTATTTTATAAATTTTATATTTTTTAAATTATATATTTACAATGGATATGTAAAAGTATTTTGCGGCGCCAACATTTACCAATACGCAATGATTACAGCACGGACGTTGCAAGAATTTTGTTACCACTTAAAATATTAACATGGATTCACGTGGATAAAATGTAATCGAATAAATTATTTGTTTTATCGAATGATAAAAATAAATAGATTAAATTTTAAAAAATACTGTATGTTTACCTAAATTCCGTTTCCGATTAATGCAAATACGATGAAAAAAGTCTTATTGTAATTCCGAACCGGCAACGATTGTTTTAACCACGGACGAAATATTACGATACCTAGTCAAATAGTACTCGCGAGTTATACGTGCACGAACAATTAAATGAAATATCACACATGCTTTACGAACTCATGTTTTATGTTGATACTATTATTGTGTTGTTCAGCACACGCGTCTATAAATATTATAGTTATAACAGAGTGAAGTCGATGCAAACTACTGTACGATTTTCATCACATCGTGGCCGCGTCCCTACACGTATACGACCCCGTATTAGGTAAACCGTCGTCGTACATAACACTGCAGTGTATCGACCTGCACGATGAGCCCTGCCGGAGCGAACGTCTCGTTCGAGATTTAAACGCGGACTACGCGGCTAATACGCAGACGAGGAGAGTTGTCGCATATAATAATAATAATAATAATAATCGCAGCAGCATCACCATATACCGCGTAACCGGTATACACAGAACATTACACGGCTGTGAATATACCGGTATCGATGGCGGGGCAGTGACGCGTGGTACCTATGCCTACTTACGCGTTCATGTGTGTGTGTGTGTGTTATTGCAATTTTACGTGACGATAATAATAATTCGATATGCATTATAAATCCATTATTATCGGAAAACACCCCTTCATGTACTCAACACAAAGTGTCTCACAACACCCAACTAAAAATCAACCTTAACCAAAACCCTGCACCTGGAGGAAGTGATGCCACATTTGCCCTTTGAAAAAAAAGAAGGTACAAATATAATATACTGTAGTCCGATAATCCGGTAGTTAATACATTTCGTATGTTTCATTATATGAATATCATAAACCGTTGTAGTACTTCAGACGTTTTTTTCGCCTCCTATTATTATCGTACAGTCCCGTATTCATATTTTTATGATCTTTTTGTTGTTTTATTCAGTCCACTTCTTTTTCTTCTCGGTGATATTTGGTCTTCAAGACTTTTATCATCCAACTTAATTGCCTCCAGTTTTCCTTATTTAATAATATTGTTTTCCAGTCTTCTCCTGGTCTCACTTTTTCCACATCTTCTCTTACCCTGTCTTCCCATCGTAATCTCGAGCGTCCCAGCGGTCTTTTTCCTCGTGGAGTATTTTCTAGCAATGTTCTCAACAGAGATCCTTCCATACGCCATGCGTGTCCTGCCCATATGAGTGGTTCACGGTGATGTCTTGCACAATTTTACACTTTTTTGCACTTTTAGTCCTCTATTTTTCCGAATTCTCCATTCTCTAGTATTCACGTCTTTACATATATTTTTCTGAGTACTTTTTTTTTCGTAAACATCTAGTTAATTTTCGTCCGTCTTCCGCAGCGTCCGTGTTTACTCAGCCCACTGCTTGTTAGAAACGCCTCGCATTTTTCACATGCACACAAAATATGATGAGCGATCGAATACCATAATACATTTAGTTGTAAATATATATATATATGACGTACGTAGTAAGCAGTGTCGAATATAATGTGCGTACAATCGTATATATATTTTAATACTATTATGTGCTACTCTCTTGTATATTACCTTAGCGGCGTGTTTATGATTTTTTTTTTTTTGATTTTTTTTATTCTTCTCCTCTGAAAATGTCCTAGTCGCCGACCGGTGACCAATCGACGTGGATATTTATACATATAAATATACTATTATTATTATTGTTTAATACACGGAACGTCAAACGCGGATTCGCCCATTACACAGGAAATGGCAACCGCATACGTATAATACGTGTATATACACTCCACGCAGCGGTCGTCGTATCCATCGCCGCGCGCAATTATCGATTTTCCATATACGAAACAGATACGAGCGGGTTTTTTTTTCTCCTCTCTCCATAAGCGACCGTGCAGGTGTATGTATTTCTGTTCTATTGAAAACGTCCTAGGGAGGTGTGGGTAGAAAATTGTAGCGGAATAGATATCATTCGCGCGCAATTCGATTTGGTATTTATCGTAATATGATGATGGCCCCCGTGGGTAACAAATGTGCACGCCATAATACTACATATACATATAGATACACACGTTTTGTACGTAGAAATATTTGTCCAATAGGTGTGTGTGTGTGTGTGTGTGTGTGTCATCGCAATAATCGTTTTTGTTCTCTCTCTCCCGTGTTATACATCAACACGAATTCAAGTACGCGCGATACATAATAATAAGACGACGGAAAACACAATGGGATAAACACGCGGATCCTAGAATCGTACAATATCATTATTATGCGTTCGTTTTTGCGATATTTCACGATAATTTTCACGTAAATTTCTTATCTGCGTGACACATAATGGAATATATAATATAAAGTAATATAAATGATTGTAATAAACCATATAGTTACTGTACCTATAAAGACGTGTGTGACTACCGTATTATATTATATTGTACTGCAGCTGTAAATATTATTATACTATTCGTCAACGCTATTTCCACAATAATAATGTACCTTTAATAATACACTTGAATAATGATAATAATAATAGTAATAATGTGTTGAGATTCAGCTACACCGTTCTTGGAGGTATATATATATATATCTAGCGAATACATATTTACTATTACCGTCATTATATTCGTTATTTTTGATTCGTTAAAAATGCGTCCGAGGACCACATTATACGATCTCAAATGGTCCACTTTGTCGAAAGGGTTGACGAATTATGGAACGGAAAATACAATACGGATTCTGAAATTACGGTGATTTCTTAACACGTACGAGTGTACGGAAAATTAAAGGTTTTTTTTTTTTATTTCTTCACATTTTATCACTCGATTTTCGTCGTGTACACCAGCACGTAAAATTATATGCGAAATACGTAATAACCATTGTCGGTGTTGAATGACCTGTATTCGTAATTCATGTACAGAGGGACTAATTCAACCAACTAAGACGACCATGCGTCGAGTATCATATTATACATTATAGTCATGCGCGTGTACATTTTTCGCTCGTACCTACGCGTGAAAACTATCGTGTTACAATTGTGTTTACATATAATTTATAACGATATTTCGTTTTAGAGTACCCGATTATAGATTTAAAGTGAATCAATAATCAATAACCGTTAACACGTTTGCATAACGGTACGAATAAAAAACCCGATTTTTTATTTATACACATTTAAACGAGTCAATGTATTCATACATACAATAATTATGACTGTATTACGTTATGCTATACTACGGTTTTACGATTGAAATACGTCATTAGCTATTTTAGATATCAAACTAAACAGTTCCTTTTATACTCGTATTTTCATTATAAATAATACAGTTTTGGTATACTACAGAGCAGAGGTCTCCAACCTAAGGAACGAGGACCGGTTCCGACCCGTCAGCTTTTCAAATTGGCCCCCCAAGTTTACTCATATTTTGTCAATATTATTCCGAATCTGAAAAAAATGTGCACGTGAAATAATTTCAATTTTTAGCTCCACTTAATAATGTGAACAGACATCTT